TTTTCTTCACGTCAACAATCGCAATAAAATGGCCAAAGTGCTAGAGTTGGTTGATAAACTTCAATGAAATTAATGCAAATGGATAGCTGGGATTCAACGCTACATAATAAGCATGCAAAGGTTGCTGATCGGAGAGAAATTTTATCTTATCACGTGCGTACAATTGTTGCAAGCAATGGATATATATGTAAGAGCATGGAAACGGAAGAAATTTACTAGAAGGTTGTAGAGAATCAAAAACGTATTAAAGAGAAAATAGTATGCAGACAAAAGGGCATATATGCATTTATAATGACAACAGAACAAAAGAAGATATAGATGGAATGCATATATACGATGACGTCATTTAACAAGCCCTTAGCTGAGCTAGAAAAGTCATATTTTCCAGAGTTGTGAAGTTCCAAGGTGACATAGGTGCCATTCATCTTCATCTACCATAATTCTCTTTTCTAGCATTTATAATGACTGAAATTCTCTTAAGAAGAGACTGTTGTCCACTAGTGTATCTTGAAACACGATCTAAAAGAAATGTTGAAAAGTATATAGGGTAGATATTTGCAGCTCCCCCTTCCCCACAGACTGACAGACGTTGATAAACGATGACAGACTGTATGTCAATAATGGCTTGTTGTCATATAGTAACTACTTCCTTATTGTATTTCTAGATGATTAAGTCAAAGAAGAGTAAAGAAATGTGTCCCAAAATACATAGAATGAAACAATCTTTCTGAGAATAGCAACAGCAACTACATCGTATTTCATATTTTTATTTTGTAGGGACTTTGTGCTAATAGTTTTTTAAAAAGATATCAGTATTTGTGGAATTATTATGAAAATATTATTGAATTTTATATTTTTATTTGTAATAAAAATAGATCGGTATTACTAGAGATATGAATAAAAATACATGCAAGATTAAAATGAAATTATTTAATTCCGAGGTAATTTATATCGTTGAATCATTTCCAAAGATTTTCGATTGAATTCCGTTCTATTTTCCATATACTCTTTACCTATATCTATACAAAGATTGAAGAAAAAAAATATATATATATTGAAAAGATTTCTATTTTTCATAATACAAAGAACTAACCGAGATTCACTGAATAATCAATATTTGGATTGTCAATATGTTCAACAACGGCTTTAACAACATCGATTAAAGTCGTTCCATGTTTCCATCTTGTAGTTTTTGTCAATAGTGGATGACAAAATTTACCTTAATTTATTATTAATACATGAATATATATTGAGTAAATGATACATTTACTTACCATCTTTATCGACATTTGGATGATAGATCGGAGTTAAAAATCTAACTTCAGGAGGTTCAAATGGATAATTTGATGTTAATTTCATTTCTATTTGAAATGCACTTTCTTTGAATATATCTGAGTTTGGTAATATTCGTCCAATGACAACATATTCAGTGTTTTTCATCGAAGTTTCATCATCATCTTCATCAAATGGGGATTTATCAAGTAAAAATCTTACTGATACGCCTTCTTTATTCGATAGTTTAAGGTGAGTTATATTGGTCCAAAGAGTTTTGTTTAATTTATTCGTATTAGTCATTGATATAATTGAAGAGAAAGCTAAAATATTCCTAAAGTTTTGCTTCATTTTGGCGTGATTTATATATCCATTGTTTATCATCGCTTACATAACATCGAATGAATAAAAAACACTCAATATAGAAAACAATCATCATGAGTAATAATTAAGCACGCTTATCGGATTACTGCTATACGAACGATAAGAATGCACCCATGTTAAACTGATAACGTGAATAATATGGAAAAGAAAAAGAAGTGTGATGACTCAGAACGTTCTTCTTATCTTTGGTAGCTTTAAATTGAAGTGAATAATAAGTGCGAGTTTCATAGTTGCACTTAAAGATACCCTTCATATTTCCCGAATTTCAGGAGAAGGGCTTATCCGAACAGTTTGAAATTTTCAGGACAGCTAGATCTTGACAAGTAGAGCAAAAGCTATTATTCCGAATGCTGTTTTCTATGAGATACTGGTGACACAATGGTGAAAAATGACCGCCTGCTTCTCAGAGACGCTATGGAATGGATATGTTTTTATTTTTTCTGTTATTCGAGTGAAAAAGTAAAAATACCGAAAATATCCTAAAGAATGCATTTTTATAAAAAGAGGTAACGAAAACCAGCAGAACAATATTTTTTTCTAACAGAAAAAAAACTACCCATTTCAAATAGTGCATAGTATTTGTGAAAAAGTTTCTGCACATTTTTTTTTTGATAAAAATGTTGGTTTGAAAAAAATGCGAAACAATATACTCAATAGATAGATAATATTTCAAACTATACAATGGCCACAAAAAGAAAATTTTCAGTTACGAAAATGAGGGAAAGATAAATGGCAGATCAGCACCCAACGTTTCAGCCTCCGATAATTAAACTCTCTCGTCACTTAATTAAGCAAGACATAAAATCAATATCAGATGTGAGGTCAGAAAAAAGATTCTCATATCTACAGTACTGTTGCCAACTCGATAGCCACACCTCATAACCTAGCCGTCGTTCATGTCAAGTTCATCTATACCGTGTTTTAAAAAACTTTTTTAATAAAATATATGTAAATAAGAAATTTTCAGATTATAAAATGAAATCAGCCATAATTTCGGAGTCTCGCCAGTTTGATTGTGAACTAGATATGAATGTTGTTATTGTATAATTTTCTATATGTTTAACATATATACATTTGTTAAGTATTAATGTCTTTCTTAAGCTTGCATTACCAAAAATGAAGTCAATATGAGTTTTCAATGACCTTACCGTTTTCATTCGTTTATATACTATTCATGCATTTAAAATATGAAAAGTAATTATGTTTACTAAATTTTATTTATTTTCAAATAGACAAAAAATA